ATATTTGATTAAACTATCTCCCTGGGTAGCAGTATTGAACTTCTAGAAAAAAGTCCTCAAGGACAGGGAAATAGGAAAAAAAGCACTTGAATTCTACACTGGATAAAGTATGATTCAGAATTCATACCATCTAATCTAGACAGTAGATTTAATTACTGTAGAAACCAAGGAATTGCTTCATTTTCAATAAAAACAAATAATAAAGGATTAATAACCTTACAACAATTTAGAAATTCCTTTAATCTATAAAACTTGTTTTCTTCAGATACCTTAAATTAAGAAAATATTATCACAATAACAATAAATGGACAACGAAAAGAGGCTTGAATCTGATAAAATTATTTATGGAAGAACAAAGGTAATGCCAACAGAAAACTTATCTTCAGGGTGTACACATCCTTGCAGCTGGAGAAAGCTCACTCCCCAACATATGTTACAAAAAGACGAGAGTTAATATAAAGATAACTGATTAGGACTGTTCAAAACCTGTAAAACACATTCATTTACTACAAGCTCGGGTCAAAGTAGAGTTTATATGGAAAAATATTCTAAGATTTATTTATTACTCCAGAGATCAAAGTTTCTAAGCTCAACAGACCTGATCTTAGTCACTGTTAGAGGATATGAGGGAATACATCTGCTGGACATTTTCACATTTTCTGTGAAAGTCCTAAAATGTAAACATTTTGGGAAAATATGATCAATGAAATCAGACCAATAATAGGTTTTATGTATCTCAGGAATTTAAGAACACATATAAAGAAACAAGACAGACACTTTATACAATCTCTGTTAACCATGACCAGGAAATAGCTCAGTAAAAAAACTCCATCTATTTCAGACAAAAAGATGGAAATAGATTGTAAAGGAGATATATTGTATGAAACGTCTGACCTTCTCTCTGTGATATGCTAATGCAAATGTGAGAGGAAGTGGAAACCTTGGAGATCTTATATGAGGGTAAAGTATAAAAAATGCTTGTCATGTCCTGTGCAGGTATCTCATTTTTTATATAGTAGAACTGATATCTTTTGAGCTAGCCATGACACAGAATTGAAGATGTCTGTGTGACTCTGAACCTTATGGACCCTGTCTGCTGTATTCACCGTTTTTTTTTTTTTTTTTTACTGGTTCCTTTTAAAATTCCATGAACAAAAATAAAGTTAAGAAAAGAAAGGGTTGAAAAGGACAAAAAATAAATGGAAGTCAACACATGGCGGTCACTATAGCAAGGGACGGATATATGTGTAAATGTGTGTGTCTTACCTGTCATGTTGCAGTAAACTAGCTGCGGTTTGATGGGTCCACTGCCATCCACATCGATGTAAAAATATCCTGATGTGTTTCCGTTGTGTTTGTACGCTTCACAGGACTGCTGATACACGGCTGGATGGAAAATAATGCTAACATTAACAGAAAACACACCTCCGAGAGCTGTTACAGGACTGGAGACCACTCTCTGTGGGTGTCAATGGTTAATGCTTCACATGGAAATATACAGAACTAACCAGTGTGCCCAAGTTCAGTTCATGAGAGCTAATATCCTGCAAGCTTTTAAAGCAGTTCCTCTCCAACACACACAAATAAAATGGCTAAATGGAAACATCGCCTTCCAGACATTCTGTTTTAGTGAGGGTTGGTAATGAGCGATTGTTTTCAGGTATCTTGGAGCAGAGATGCATCTAAAGGTTACAGGATAGTAGCTCTCGAGGACTGGAAAATGCTACTTCTGTTGCAATATTTTTATACATTAACTTACAAGAAGTAGTTTTGTTCATCAGATCAAATCTTAATGCAAAGAAAGACAATGTTGCTGGCTGAAAAAGCACAGGCTCCATAAACACAGAATGAAGGTAGTAGACCAGCACCTTCAGTAAAGCCTCCATAAGTCTACCCGCCTTTAGCTACTGTATATCTGCACGCTGCAGTCAAGCTCTTTATCTCCTTTATCTAGTTCCTATGCACAACTTATCTGAAACAAACATCCAGCAGACTGTAAAAGTACTGAAAGCCTGAGTTTTTTTAAGTCAGTGTTAACAACCTATTAATGTAGAGCTGCCTTTGTGATTGACTGTTTAAGTTAAACTTTTAACTGAGGTATTATTACAGAGTTTATAAAGGAATGAGTAACTCTAATTTAATGCTTTTTGATGCTTCTTTTTAATGCTCCTGCAAATTATTGTAATGCCATCAACAAGTACCAATGATTCTCATTTATATATATATATATATATATATATATATATATATATATATATATATATATATATATATATATATATATATATATATATATATATATATATATATATATATATAAACATGGCAAAATCCTTCTTCATCTTAACTGTCGACAGGCTGCAGCCATGTCCTGAATTCCACTTTTTCCAGCCACTTCTGCTAATATTTGTATTTTCTTATTCTCTAACTTTTTCTCCACCTCAAGCTCCTTTTCCAAACTGACGGCTTTATGATCAACTGGAAGCAGTTCCACGCAAGCATGTGGAATCAGTTATATCTGATATAATATATCTGACGAAACTGTTTTACTGAACTTTTTTTTATTAAAGCATTTTAAATGACACTATAATTACATTTAATACATTTTAATGCCAATTAATGCCTTAATTAAAAACAATTATTTAATGACTTTCAATAATTTTTTTATGAAACCCTGTACCAGTTTAAGGCCGTGATCCAATTGTGGAATTTACTTTGACACTCACTTTTATCATGTCTTTGTCTTTACTTGGTTAAATTTATGTAAGGCACTTTGAATTTACAAGTTAACTTGGCTTGCCTTAAAACTACAGAAAAAATACCTGCCATCATCTAAAACCCGTACTGCTGGTTGATTAAAAACACCTTCTCTTAACTATTGTGCCCCAAAAATATTAAGGAATTATTTGAATAGAACAGAATAAGGCCAATGAGGATTTTTCAGATAACTTATCCTCTAAAAAAAAAAAACTTGCTATAGAGACCTGATGTAGTCAGCATAAAGCTTATATATGTTGCTTTGAAACTAAAAGAAGGAAAGAAGCCTACCTTGTAGCTAATTCACTGCCTCCAAGTTATGTGTACAAAGTTTCAATTATCTCCTTTTAGATGAAATAGAAAACAACTTGTTGAATTTATCTTAAGGTTGATTTATTTCCAAATGACTTTTAGCTTAATCTGCAAAACAACTCCTCTGCCCAAGCTTTGTATTCGCAGTCAAGGGAACAATAAAGGTTATTTTACCACTATTATAGTTATTGGATCCCTTTTTAACAGCTTTATGTTGAGAACATAGCTGAGGTTATCCTAAATTATCTCTATTATTATGCTGCTATAAGCTTATGGTGCGTTTGACACCAAATGTGAATAACATGACCAGAGCAAATGATTTACATATCATCCCTATATAGGGCGGTGAGGAGCAAAGTCTTGAGGGATGTGATTCTAGCAATGTGAATTACATGATTAGTATAAACAGGGTTACGTGAGAGGAAGCAAAACTCATCATGGGTGCACGGTATATAAAGCTTTATTCATTCAAAATAAAACAAATAAAAAATTTATGTTGACATAGGATAAAGAAGGGAATGTTCTCAGGAGGTTTCTGGTGATTTTCTAAAAAGCTATTTTAATATAGCCATAAGCGGGGCTCTAAAATCATTCATCCACCTGTTGATGGAAGTACCATGGGAAGCGACCATGACCCAGCTTTATCTCCTGGGCTTCATTGGGAGAATCTTTGGAGGATGGTGGACGCTTGTTTGCCTTTTCATAGTTTATAAAACACCTTCACTTACTCGGTAAATGAGGTGAAACTAGCAAGCAGCATATAGAAGTTCCTTCTGTTTGAAGATGCAGTGAAGTGTTGGTCCCGTTGGACACATGAACGGTTGGCGAAATGTCAAGCGTGTTCCAGCACTCGCATGAAGAGAAAAATTCCCTAGAATCTCGTTCAGTGTGAATGACCATAAGGCTGCTGGAGAACATAGGGACCATCATTCTGTTTCATTCTATCTCTGTTCCCTAAATTCCACATTATTTGGTAATTCAACCCCAACCTTTATGCTCTTTCTGCTTTTTCTAATTGTTGTAGCTACATCTGATCAGGTGCCGTATATTTTTAATTGAACTTTATTGATCTCACAGTGGAGAAATTTTACCCCTGCATTTAACCCATCACCTTGGGTATCAATGGGCGCCCTGGGAGCAGTGTGGGGTTAAGAGTGCAGGCTGTGGGGAACGAACCGGGTACTTGCAACCTTCTCAGAGCACAACCACTCCTCCACTAGGCCAACACTCCCCCTATATGGCTTTCTATCCTTCCTGCAAGGGGTAGGCCTGAACCAGGATGCTACTGTCAACATCTTCAATTTTAGATGATGGAGTTGGGTCTGTTTTTCACAGTTTAGTGCTGTTTCTCTCCTAGACATATCTATGGACTCAGCTTTATCTGTGACTACCTTTACGTGCTCTTTTTCATTCTTTTTGACATGAAAACCGGCTCAGAACTCGTCTGCTTACCTGTCTTCCTAGAGGGAGACACCTATGAAGCTAGTTTATCGTTACCTTTTTTTTAAATAAACATATATTCATGCATCAGAGGTTCTATGTAGAGGTGAGTATTGGCATGAGTGTTTTGCGATTCGATACATGTCGCGATACTTGGGTCACGATACGATATTATCACGATATTGCAGTATCACTATATATTGCCATATTTTCCCCAGCTATCAAAATCAAATGATGTATATTTTCATCAGTAAATATTGATTAGGTATTATTATCCATGTTGTTTGGGGTTTTCTTCCACTGTGACTGCCTCAAATACAGATTTGGTGCTGCACGCACAGTTATAGGGCTCCACAGCGTTTTCTGCCAGAGTGGTGGTGCAGAGGTAGCCCATTTTCCCATCAATGTTTTATGTAACCATTTTTTTTTTTAAATCGATACTAAGAAGTGAAAGATCGATATTATATTGGGCAGCCGAATATCACGATATATCGCCAAAACGATTATTTCCCACACCCCTAGTTCTATGTATATTTTATGTTTCTGTCTCAGTCTTCTTGAGTGCCAAATTATCCTCTGCATAAGACCATTCACAGTGAGTTTGGTTCCACTGAAGGTTTCTTCCTGTTAAAAGCAAGTTTTTTGACACTGCTTCATGCACACTCTGTGTTATGGTAGCTGCAGAGTTAATATAGAGTCACAATATAAGAGTATTGTCGCTATAAGCTCATCCAGGAGGAACAAACCCTGCAAACGACTCAATGCAATCAGCTGGTTTTCCTTAGATAGAAAGCTTTTTTAACCAATTTGAATGCTTTGTTTGTACCGTGTCTAAAGTGCCTTGAGATGAAGTGTTGTGAATTGGCACTATAAATATGTGACAATGGCTGCAAGTTACTGACATATAGAGGTATGTATTTGTGTGGACCTCAGTTAAGATACCACAATGTCATTTTAATGAGGTTAAGTTCAGGAGTTTAGCTGGTTATCTGGTGCTGAATTACTCTCCTGTAATAGCTGACCCTATAATAATTGGACAAACAGAGGGGTTATTGTTTATCCAACTGACAGCAAGATGTCAAAGTCCTGTGGCCTCAAAACAAGCCAAAATCATCCCCTACCATTGCCAAGCTTGACAAGTGTTATGATGTGTCTATGTTGACATGTCATGTTTTTTATTCTATAAATAGTTCAGTGTTTTGACATTGGACATTCTCACTGAAGGCCAGGAGACACTGAGATGGAGCTTGTGCAGTTTCTGCAGCATCCCTGATCATCAATCTGACCTCAGGTTGAAATTACATGGAAATCTTTGAAACATTAGCTATTGACATGAATGTGTTCAACTCATTATTTTTCTGAGTGCTGAATGAGGATCTATTAATTAATCTAAATTACCGACTAGAATTGGATCAAATCTATTTGGTTTAAACATTTTTTAAAGGCAGCAACAACAGTAAAAATGTCCAGAATGTCTCCCTTATAGACGTGATCCAGGATTCCTATGAATGGTCATCAGCTGTCATTTTTAACTTGACAGTTTCCTAAACCATAACAACAGAAAAAAATTACTTAACAGATCAGTAATAATGATCAAAAATAGCTGCACTAGTAGAAAAAAGAGATACAGAAGATATAAAACAATACAAGGCTTAAACCCAGGTTTTACAAGTGCCTTAGATATTTAGGTCAAAATAGTCCTTCTTTGATTTAATGACCTTTTAAAATTTAGAAAGAGATCGTTTTGCGTTCTAATTGTAATAATGTACAATCAGTATAAGAAAGGAAGAACAGGATACCAAAATACTCACTTAAATCGAAGGTTTTTAAAATGTTTTCTTACTAAGAACATTGTAGAAATCTTACAAGGTGAAACTTGGTAAGTTTCCCATTTTAAGTTTTAGACTTCAATGATGCATGCATTCTGATCTTGTGAGCGTTTGCTGCTCAGTGAGTTTGAGTTAATATCTTTTGGCAGGTTACTCACAGCTGTGGCAGGTGGCTCCGCCGTAGCCGCTGTTGGAGCAGTTACAATGGAAGACGGACCATGTCTGACTGCAGAGGCCGCCATGTTCACAGCGACTGGGAGAACACCTGAAACGAGGAAAAGGTTCCTGGAGATTTTTAAATCTCTCATACTCTGCTGAGTTAAATCATTCAGATGTTATTCCCCATCCTTGGCATGGATGCCAAATTCAGCTTTTATTAAATAAAATTTTTATTGAGTGCATTTCAAAGATCTTATACATTCAACACATCCATTTCCGACATAGACTTAACAAAACCAAGTTAAATTCACAACCAGACCATGGATGAATTAGATGACAATTATATTCTTGGTAATCTTACCATTTTATCCTAACACACGTGCCTTCATGTGAGAAAGAAAGAACACTTCCTTTCCTCCTTATTCATATCTACAAGTGTCCCAAATTCAGCTTTTAATAATTCATTTCATAGTATTGAATGACACTATCAAAAAAAATATCATTAAATTGTGAAAACAACTGCTTTCGGAAGAAGTTGGGAAATATTGTGTTTTTCTGATGTAACGTCCAAAATACTTTTTGATTCAAGTTTATAAAAAATACATTCTTTAAGATTTCTTTCAACTTTCATATCAATGTTTCTGTGTAACAGCTCTCTCTTACACCGTCTTGCATAATTCTGGATCGGTGTTTTTTAAACGTCTTCTCGGCGAAATTGGCAGAGCTTACGTTTTATTCCCAGGAGCTGACCCAGCAAAAATATTGCACAAATCTTTAACAGGACTTTTTATTTGGGGAAAACAAAGTTTATTTCTGTTTCATAGTTTATTTATGGTCTGTCCACCACTGCCTACACTTTAAAAGCTCACTAACACTTCATCATCTTCCGCTTGATAACAGACTTGAACCTCAATGGCTCCTGGGTTTGTCAGGTTTGGTGGAACTTAGTTGATGACCCAAATGCAGAGATGAGGAGGTAGAGATGAGTTTTGCTGATTTAATGAAGGTTAAGAAAGGCAAATTCCAAGAACTAAAAATACAGAAAACCAAAAACCAAGAGGTGCCAGGGGAGAAAACACACAAGAGGAGCTAAGTAATGACGAGGAACCTGAAATGAATATCTGCAAAGGGAGAATTTATACGGGAGACAGAACAAAGATTGGGGTAATCAGCTGACAGGGAGCAGGTGTGGATGGAAGCAACTAGAAGACGGGGGAAAAGAGACTGGCACAAGAGGGCAGCACAAAAAAAACACTGCTTAAAAATAACTAGAAAACAACTACAATAACACAAAATGGAAAATAAAGCAATTACCAGGAAACACAGAGTTACAAATAAATATGTCAATGAAAACTCAAAGAGAAACTTTAACAGAACCAAAAAGTCCACAAAGGGAAGGATCACGACAGGGTGGTTCCTTAACATTCCTAATTTTCCTTTCTTCGAGGATGATAGTTTATACCAGATGTTGGGAGTTTGATAACCGGGAAAGAGCCTAAAAAATCTCTGACCTAAACATTGTTTATGTTATACTGTATGGCAGTTCCCAATCAGGAATCGTAGTCGAAAGAAAATCAAACATGTTTGAAATTCAGTCGTAAGGAGGTCATGAGTGCATCCTGCTATTGAAGCAGAGCTAGGAGCATCTGAGTTGATTTACCTCAACCTTGCCTATAACAAGGGAATTCTTCTTCTTTTCCAACTTTACTTAAAGGAATAGTACACCCAAAACATGATTAGCCTTCATTTTCTACTCACCCCCATGCTGAACAACACTCTGGAGTACTTTTTTGATATCTCAAATGCATCTGGAGATCTGGGAGGCTTCTTGCTGTCTGCTGACATTCAAATAATGGAGGTCTATGGTGCCCGAGACAGAAAGGTCCATAAAAGTCCACAAAAAACGTGTCAATATTCCTCCATACTGCTCGTCCAATGTATTCCAAGTGTCCTGAGTGGGTAGCGTCCATAATTTACTCGAAACAAAGTCATTTAGAATGTTTTTAGAGCATAAGCAGTAGTGTATAGGATTTCCTAAAAGCGCGTTCACGAGTCTACGGAAACCGCGGCAGACCAAACCAGACGAAAGTGCGCATTCAGCTCGGCAAAGAACTCATGCTCTTCCTCAACACTGAAGTCCTCAGACATTTTTCTTTCCTTGTTTCTTTCTTTGCACAGGTAAACAGCACATTTCTTCTTCTACGCTTGCATTATCGGCAGAGCAGACGCTGAATGCGCACTTTCATCTGGTTTGGTCTGCCGCGGTTTCTGTAGACTCGTGAACGCGCTTTTAGGAAATCCTATACACTACTGTTTATGCTCTAAAAACATTCTAAATGACTTCGTTTCGAGTAAATTATGGACGCTACCCACTCAGGACACTTGGAATACATTGGACGAGCAGTATGGAGGAATATTGACACGTTTTTTGTGGACTTTTATGGACCTTTCTGCCTCGAGCACCATAGACCTCCATTATTTGAATGTCAGCAGACAGCAAGAAGCCTCCCAGATCTCCAGATGCATTTGAGATATCAAAAAAGTACTCCAGAGTGTTGTTCAGCATGGGGGTGAGTAAAAAATGAAGGCTAATCATGTTTTGGGTGTACTATTCCTTTAAGGATAGATAGGTTCGACCAGCGCCTTCCCTCTATAGAGCTGATTCTGATGTTTGGTTTTGGACAGTGTAAGTACAATGTAAGAGCATATATCCTGACCTGTGAACTTTTAAATCCAGTTTCTTTGTACAGTTTGAGCTGTAGCTGACTACAACAATTAAAAATATCGTACAGTGAATGCCCACCCTTACATGAGTTTCTATGCACATGTTGTGCTTCCATTTTTTCTTTTAGGAGAGAAGAAGCTTTTTCCTTGTTACTATTTCAAATAAAGAATACTTGTTCTGTCTTTTTCCAATTCTTCTACCATAGACCTCAATAAGGAATATTTAAACTGAGGCTAACAAAGACTGAGATTGAGTTTTAGGATCTTTGAACTATTCTTTCGCTAATGAAACAGCAAAGATATAGTTAAGCTTTCCATTTTACACTAAAATAATTAAGATGAAATTTCTGAGGTGTATCAGTTTGCAAAATAATAAATAAAATCTACTGCTGAGGGAAAAAATAATGTTAATATTTTCTGTGCTGTATTGTTTTTTAAGACTTGACTCATTTTTTTCAAAGTACCAGAAAAAACTAAGAAGCATTTCTGTTTTTTGTTCACTTAGTTTTGACTGGACTGTAAGTGGTAAGGTACAAAAAGCAGGAGTTGTTTTGTAAGGATGTGATGTAGAGCTCCTGGGGGATTGCATTCAATTTGTGCTGTTAATGGACTGTTTGTCTAATAATACTCTTGCCTGTTGCAGCAACACTAACCCCATCCCACCCCTGCAGAAAATACAGTAATAACGTGCTGAGAAAAATACGCGCTACACTGAAGCTGTGTTGGTGAGTCCATTTTTTACCTGACATCCCTATAGGAAATATCCCAGTGGCTCATATGAAATCAGGAGGATAACACAGAAGAAACACGCTGAATTTTTATTTTTTTTATTTTGCTTTTACAGAAAAACAGATTTTTTTCTCTCTCTTTGTTCCAACTGAAAGGTCAGATCTATGGAGGAGCTGTAGTCTGATGAATTGTGATGCAAAAGCTGAGAGACATTTAATTAAAATCATTCAAGCAGTGTCTCCTTATCTGCCAAGGATTTGTGGATAGTTCAATACTAGTGTCTGTGTCCATGTTCACATTCTGTGCTTGTTTACGTGGAGGAGGACTGTGTGTTTGGGTTTTATGGGACTGTCTGGTTTCCTCTAAGACTCAGGAATTGAGTTTATAATTGCTGTAATTGTCTCATTAATCCTGCTGCTATTTGAGGTGATACCAAGACCCCCATTTTCTTCTTCAAATAGCTGGGGTCTTTTTACTCTCTCAGATTTAGGCTGTTCTAAACAGTCAGAGATGACATAGAGTTATCATTTTTATTTACTCATCCAGCAATTACTGTAGATAAAAAAGCAATATCTAGCAAATAGAAGCTGTAAAACCTTGTTATTTTATAGGATTTTTTCATTTCAGAATGGATCACATAACCACTAACGTTTGTCCAGTCACAATTATCTATGCATTGCACTGTATAAAACATTTAAAAAACGTTCCTTAAAACAACATTTTTTCGAAGCGCGACACTTTTGGCTGATTTTGATTGCTTTACCAAATCTAACTGTTGTATGGTACAATATTATTATTTCCACAGAAATATGAGAAATTGTCACTCAAAGTTCAAAATTCATTGGTCAAGATTAAAATCGTAATTTATAAATTTAGAAATTAACCAATGGGATACATTCCTGTGGAAGGAACAAAATGAGGAATAGGGAGAAATGAAGAAACTAAGGAATTAGCGAGATAACCAAGAAAAGAAGTTACATAATAAATTTGAGAAAGAAACAGACAGCTAGAAAAAAAAAAAAAAGAGTATAGGAACGAAAGATATAATAAAAAATGAGAAGAAACCTCGGAAAAGTTGCAAGAAAGGAATTACTAAAGGACAGAGTCAGAAACTAAGCAGGTAAATAAGAAGGGACGAAACTTAAGCTGCTTTCCCACTGAAGTTAGCAGGTTAACATGGCGTTTTCAAACACCGCTAACAATCAGCATTTGGCTCCTTTCCTATTTGGAAAAAAAGCTGGATCTGACCCCCGCTGGCAAGCTGCATTTTCCCTTTCCTACCGTGTGTCTGATGGCGCCATCACGCTAGCTTTGCATTGATGATATAATTTGTGCGATATGAATCAGGAAAGTAAACAATGAAGTATCCCTCCTTTGTAGTGCAATTGTTGGAAAAAGCATGCTTAACTGCCCTCTACAGTGAGAATGTGGTATATACAGTATGTATACAGCTGTGCTTCCAGTTTCTAACTGGATTTTAAGCAAAGAAATTACCAAAGGTACAAAGCTTTTACGTGTTGTTCAGTAGGGGTTAAATATTATGCTGTAATTTTGCTGCTAGATAAATAGATGCTTGGTAAATTGAGACAAAATAGATACTTTAGTCTATAAGCTGATTGGATTCCACTGAGACACTGATGGGGTTAGAACAGTTGTAAAGCTGTCAGCTAGATATGGAGTTATGGCCGGGCATACACTGTATGATATTTTTAATCGTCGGACACAGATACAGCTCCAACTGTACGATGAAATCGCAGGCTTTGAAACAATGCATGTTCTCCCACTGTGCTTTGATGCGATCTACCTGCTCACACTGCAAGTCCAAAAACCACACGTCAGACTCGACGCCGAGAGATGGTGCTGCGTGGGACTCGCCAGTCTGGAAGAAGAACTTCCTTGTTTGCACATACACAATGCACGAGCTTCTGGTAAATCAGCCCGCAGCTCTGCTTCAACAGCAGGATTTGCTCAACAACACATTATGAGAGCCGAATGATTTTAAAACATGTTTGATTTTCTCCCAACTTACGACTCCGGATTGGGAGGTGGTCACAAGAGGCTGAACGCCCCTCATTACCCCTGAATACTACACAACGCATGATGAGGCTGAAACTCGGTCCGATCAAAAAAATTCTTGCACGACTGGAGCATCAGCCTGAAAAGTGCAAAAAAGCAGTTTTGGGGCATTTCTGAATTTTGTTTGCTTTCCGATTCCACTGCTTATACTTTTAACTGTGTTTGTAGTAGTTTATTAACATGTACTTCTATGGATGTGTTTAAGTTTTACTATGTTTATATTTTGGTATGATTATATGGTATGTACAGCAAAGGAGATTAAACAGTTAAATTCCTCTCCTGGAACTGGAGTCAATGGTTCGGTTGGAATAACTTTAGAGATGACTGAAGTTGACGCGTGTCAAACGGAGGTGGAAAGTGATATTTTCAAAATAAAAGTTTTCCTACGTAAGATACTTTGCAAATAGATGTTAAAAAGAGAACCTCTACTGACCAATAAAGTCACTAAACCACATGGAATGCAAAGAACAGCCGCATGTGGCTGGGAAAAGGCGAATAACTGTGCTGAAATTATAGCCAGTTCTTCTGAATTTCTAGAATTGGCTGCATGTTGATGAAAAAATAAGGAATAAAACAGCAAATATGTGTTTCTTATTGACAGACCTGTCAATGATTCCACACATGTCAATCTGCAGGTTGCTGTAATTTCCCAGGTGCTTCTGTTGCACTGCGATCAGGTCCATAATTCTGTTGTCCAGACTGAATAAACGCATGCAGCCCTGGAATGCTGTAACGGGGTTTCTGCATCCATGAATGTCTCCAGAAGGACATCCTGAGGAGAAGACAGGTTTTACTTTTTAATGTAATCCTTTGTAAGTTTAAACTGCTGGTTAGCTTGCGATTCTGCTCTTACCACCAAAGAAGAGGTGACTTTCTACTGTGAGAGGAAATGACAGGCTAGCTTGAGCACTGCCTCCTTCATCTTTATCCACAGAGACAGTCAGACGGCTTTGTTTGGAGTTCAGCTCCACTGAATGCCATTGGCCGTCACTGAGTGCAGAACCTTAAAGACAAGTTGCCATTACAAAAAAAAAACCCAAAAAAAAAACATTCTGCATCCTATTTCAAAATTATGCAGTAAAGTAATATTGAACAATTCCGTATGAGGCATCAAGACCATCAAAGAATCATCTTGTCTTTCTTACAATTAAAAAAACATTTGAAGAAACACGCATGCATATTGAGTCGAGGAACAGCAGGTATCCTGTGTGATTGACTTGCAGAGCTTTGTCAGCCTCTAGTATCTGTTTGTTCTTAGAAGCACATCAATATCAATAAGTCCTTTCCCGTTCTTTTTCCCGGTGTGCTCAACAACATAATTTTGACATCTTGGGGTATTGGACACAAGGTCTCATTTTACAGAACAAACTACATGTCTAGTCTAATATTTATTCGTGAAGGTAATGCCATCACCAATAGGCTAAAATTATATACCAATCCTTTGCAATCATCATTGATTTTCAGTAAATATAAATAAGAATACCTTTGCAGATATTTGGGCCTGAAGCTGCTCAGTAAGAACTTACTTAAAGCACTTTATTAGTAGTGGCTCTCAGAGGTTTTTTTCATTATAGGATTAGTATCGTATTGTAAAAGATACAGGGTACATGCTTGTTTATATTTGGACATGTTAAGAATATTTTTATTGATGTTTATGTTAGAGTTTAACAGATCCATACATCCTCAAGAAAAATAAGCCAAGAGAAAGTTGCCATTTTATTCTTAATTTTTAATATAAAATAATAAAAGTAAAATTAATTACAATTAAAAGGAACTAATATCAATAACTTAACTTATATCATATAGTGTAACTAAAGTTGACAACTGACAGTTTAAGCTTTTCTTTCTGCTTATTTCTTACACTTTACCAAAGTTTTTGCTTCCAACTTCAGCTTATTTCAGTATTAATTTTCTGTCTATATTTTTTACATTACTTTTATACACTTAAATCAAGTGGCAGTCTGCGGGAGTGGGGCTTGAATTCAGAACCTCTAGGAGCCAAGCGCAATGCCCCTAACCACTAGGTCGCCACTCCCCTAATATCACCTGCAGGTGGCAGTAATGCAAAAGATAAAGCTTTAACTGATAAAAACCAACATCTGAAAAAATAGAAAAGTGTTAGGGCACCCATAGACACCAGCAGAGACATAATATAAGAGTAGACCCCGCATTGACTGCTTTCGCCCAGGGGCGCTGACGTGATCGGGTGGCGCTATCTTGGGACGGTCGACAGCTCAGCTCAGTGTAATGTGTTGAGCAGGCACAGAATCAATTTTGATCAACTTTAACTTGCTGAATATTGAACTACTTTTTTTATGAAAACAAATATTTCAGTACATTTGAATGATAGAATATTTTTATTACTATATGCAAACATATTTATACAGGTATACACTAATATATATACACATCTCTTGCTCTCTCGTGTGCATGTGTGAGCATCTACTGCATGTGTGGAGTGGAAGGAGAAGCCAGTGTGAGGTTTTCCAAAGGTTTGAACTTCACTTTTTGCAGTGGTGTTTCATTTGTTTTATAATTTTTTAGGGCTGCAACAACGAATCGATAAAATCTATAAAAATCGACTTTTAAAAGCGTTGGCAATGAATTTAATCATCGATTAGTTGTGTCGCGCGATTATAGCGGCATCCGCCGCCGTCGTCATCACATCCACTTGACTGAAACGGGGGAAGAAAAAAAAATATGGCGGAGCGAGTCAGCGCCGCAGTTGCAGTGCTGCCAACTCAGCGACTTTTCAGACCCCTCCAGCGACTATTTTTCAAAAAAGCGACTAGCGACAAATCTAGCGACTTTTTACGGTGTCACTGGCGGCTTTTGGAGACTCTTACGTGAAAGCATGTATCGTTCCTCCCCCATCCCAACCCCGTTCTCCCTCTCCCACAGGAATCCCTCTCAGCGCGGCAGTCAGAGCCGCAGGATTTTAGTGAGGAGTTTATCCTCAGCGTCCAGACTGCAAATGAAGCGTGCATGCCCCGGGATTGACGGCGCAAATTGATCACAATAATTAAAATAGCCTGCGCATTGTAAAGTGAAAAAAGTCGTAACATGCAACTTTTGTAAAAACAAATGAACATGGCACGGAAGCACCACTGTTATGACGCAGCACCTGAAAAGAAAACACGTTGGAGCCTTCAATGGCAGTGAAGAGAGCTGATCAGCAGGATGAGTAACCATGTTTGTTTGGTTTTAAAGAGGGGAAACGTAACGTTAGTTTCTCAGGTAGCTCATCTGATGCTTTCCTTACTTTGTTAGTAGGTTACAGACAGTGATAAGGTTGGCTACTTATTTTACTTTTAATTTCATTTGAATTAGCTTAAGCAGCGTTTATACTTTCTTTATAAATAAATGAATTTGCAAATTATGAGGGCAAGGCTTTTAAAGTTTAAATCTTATAGCAAAGATAAAGTAAAGAAGATCCTGCAATTTATGGAAGTAAAGCAGAATAAAATCCAGCAAGATCAGTAATATGTCAATTAATTATCTGCCACATTCCCATGTAAATATCTGTCTTTGGAGGATGTGTTTTTTAGCACCCCTAGTTCTCTCATTTTTATTCCAAATACAATTTATAATTTGAATCACAGGGCTATTTTTATCTCTATGGTTAAGTATTTTCTCAAGTAGCAACTTTAACTGCTATACTTTCCTGTCTTAAAAGGCAGAACTCTTCTAGTCTAAAAAAACTCATTTGTTGAAATGGGGGGACCTATTGTTTGAGCCCCTTAGGGGTTTCTGCACTTTATGAAACAAAGTACCCTATATTTTGTGGATGTACAGCTACATTTCTCATGTAAGTTTGCGTAGTTTTAACACAAACATTTATTTTTCATATTGCACCAGTACAGTTAATGAGCAACCTGTACTTGTGTGCTTCTTTGTTCTGTCTAAAATTTTTATTTTGGAATAAAGAGGTTAATATAAAAAATATTTTTTGTCCGATTCATCGATTAATTGAAAAAATAATCGGCCGATTCATCGATTTTTAAAATAATCGTTAGTTGCAGCCCTATTATTTTTACTGGTGCTTTAAGTAGTGTCTTTTCCCTTTCATGTAGACACGGTATGACATTTTTTTTTAATCTACATAAAAAAAAACAAATAATAACAAATGGTACCGACGTCAACAGCGATTGTTGGGCACCCCTGCGTATATACAATTTCAAATAGGAAAACTATCCATCCATTCAGTTTATTTATATAGCGCCAATTCACAACACATGTCATCTCAAGGAACTTTTCAGTTCTCCCAATCATCCAGTCAAATTGATTCAAAGTTTTCTATCTAAGGAAAACCAGTCAATTGCATTGACTGATTGACTGGAATGCAATCCCTCACGCTAAGCATGCTTGCAGCGACAGTGGAGAGGAAAAACTCCCTTTAACAGGAAGAAACTTCCAACAGAACCAGGCTCAGTGTAAGCGGCCATCTGCCGAGGCCGACTGTGGTTCAAGGAGACAGAAGCAGAGATACAAAAAGCAAGTGCAAAAGGCGGCCTCTTCCAGGAAAAACACAGCCAGACAGACGAGCTCCGAGCCAACTCCCATGTCAAAGCATGAAGAGAGCACATCCAGTTAGTCACAGTCAGAGAAACAGGACTACACTGGAAAACAGGTCGATCTCCAACATCTAGAAACAAAGGTGTTGATGGAAGCAGCACAGCTGATATTTCTCTCCAGGATGGAGTCACAACCAAACAGGAACAGACAAGGCAAAGCTACTATGAGAAAAAGCAGAGAGAACATAACGTTAGAGACTGAACTAACAGATTCTGCAGAGTGGGAGAATAGAGATAGAATGAAGCAGAATCATGAAATGGGGGTCCCCATGTCCTCCAGAAGTCTAAGCCTATAGCAGCATAACTATAGAGATAGCTCATGATAACCTGAGCCACTCTAACTATAAGCTTTTTCAAAAAGGAAAGTTTTAAGCCTAGCCTTAAAAGTAGACAGGGTGTCTGCCTCACGGACTAAAACTGGTAGTTGATTTCACAGGAAAGGAGCCTGATAACTAAATGATCTGCCTCCTATTCTACTTTTAGAAATTCTAGGAACCACTAGTAAACCTGCAGATTGAGAGCAAAGTGCTCTGTTACAATCGGATCTCTGATATAAGTCGGAGTTTGGCCATTTAAGGCTGTATATGCGAGAAGGAGGATTTTAAATTCTATTCTGGATTTAACAGGAAGCCAATGAAGGGAAGCCAGGATAGGAGAGATATGATCTCTCTTTTTAATTTTCATCAGAACTCTGGCTGCAGCATTTTGGATCAGCTTTTAACTACACTTTGTGGAATTCCTGATGATAAAGAATTACAATAATCCAGCCTTATAGTAACAAATGCATGCATTAGTTTCTCAGCATCACCTCTGGACAGGAGATTTCTCATTTTTGCAATATTCCGCAGATGAAAGAAGGAAATTCTAGAAACCTCTTTGATATGGGATTTAAATGACAGGTCCTGATCAAAAACATCACCAAGATTTTTTACCTTTTATCTGAAATCAGTTTAAACCCATCCAAATGAAGTGACTGACTAATCAGCTTCTTTTTCAAAGACTCTGGTCCAAAGACTATAACTTCTGTTTTGTCTGCATTCAGAGGGAGAAAGTTAAGAGTCATCCAGGTTATTATGTCTTCAAGACATGCCTGTAAGCTATGTAATGGGTTAGCTTCAGCTGGATTTATAGACAGATATAGCTGGGTATCATCAGCATTACAATTAATCCCATGCTGTCTAATAACTCTGCCAATTGGGAGCATATATTAAGTAAAGAGAATTGGTCCTAGCACGGATCCCTGTGGTTCTCCACAGGTAACCTTTGAGCATGAAGATTTGTCATTAACATGAACAAACTGAAATCAATCAGATAGATAAGATTTAAACCAGTCTAGTGCTGTACCTTTAAATCCAACAAAATATTCAAGTCTTTCTAAAAGAATATTATGATCAACTGCATCAAATGCAGCACTGAGATCCAACAGGAC